GTTTCTTATACACCTGTATACCAAAGGTAGGCTAATTTGTTATTTTAAGGGACGTTGTTTTTTTGTTTCTTTTTATATTCCCTATAATTTAGGGTTAGTGATTTTAAAATCTCTGGACATTACCTCTGTTCATTACTACTTACTACCTGCATGGGTTAGAAGTTTCTCATAAAAATGCCGGGCTCTATTTTGGTGCAGAATTTTATGATTCTGTGATTCTCTAGATTTGCACTCAAGGCTGTATGCAAAACACAGCTGAGGATAGCATGCTCTGTGGAGAACTTTCTTATTATGGTGGCCTAGTGGTTAGGGCATAGAGCTTGGAATCCTGAGGTTCTGAGTTTGAGCCCCCACTCCCACAGACTGCTACTCTGGGTCTCTGAGCAACACCCTTAAACCCCGATTACTCCTTGGCTGCCCCACGATGGCAGCCCACTGCTCCCCAATGGGATGGGTGACATGCAGAGGTAAATTTCTCCAATGGGAAATCAATAAAGTTCAATTATTATTAACAATTATTATTGGGTACTTGACACTGGACTTCTGGCATTTTCTTCTCCCCAGCCTTCCTCCAGACTCTGGCACCTTGATTTCCAAATGACATGCAAAACTGAGCAACAGTCCAGTGCTGCTTCTCTGTATCCCAGGTCAGGTGCCTCTGCCACTGTTTGTGGTTCAAAAGTGGCTTGACCTGGGTAATGCAGCACCTGTAGTCCATTTCCTGCACACGCCTGTGCACGGTTGCTCTGGATGTTTCTACTCCAGACTCAGTCCACTGGTTCCGTTGGTCCCCCAAGGTCTTGAATCGGCCATTCTCCACAATCTTCCTCAGGGTCCGGTCACCTCTTCTCGTTGTGCAGCGTTTTCTGCCACACTTTTTCCTTCCCACTGAGGTGCCTTGATACAGCACTCTGGGTACAGCCTATTCGTTCAGAAATACCTTTCTGTGTCATACCTTCTTGCTTGAGGGTGTCAACGATGGCCTTCTGGACAGCAGTCAGGCCGGCAGTCTTACCCATGATTGGGGTTTTGAGTGACGAACCACGCTGGGAGTTTTAAAGGCCTCAGGAATCTTTTGCAGGTATTTAGAGTTAATTTTTTGATTCAGATGATTAGGTGCATAGCTCTTTTAGAGACCTTTTTCATGATATGCTAATTTTGTGAGATAGGAATTTTGTGTTTTCATGAGCTGTATGCCAAAATCATCCGTATTGAGACAATAAAAGACCTGAAATATTTCAGTTAGTGTGCAATGAATCTAAAATATATGAATCTTCAAGTTGTATCATTACATTATGGAAAATAATTAACTTTATCACAATATGCTCATATTTTGAGGACCTGGATTTAGACCTAACACTTTGGTAAATACGTAGCACAGTTGACATTCTATCTGTTGTGTTTTGTCGCCATCTAGAGGTGAATTAGACTAATTGCAGGTGGTGAATACCAGCAAGCCGAGGGGTGGAGACAGGAGGAGAAAAAAATCCAATGGGAAGAAAATTCAAATGGTCTTCTTCCTGGAAATAGTAGAGAACCCGCCACAACTTCACCACATGACATTTCAGAAAGAAAATGCGACACCACTTCCCCCGACAAAAATGAACAAACCGCCATTTCACCGCATAAACCCGCAACTAGAGGCGCATTAATGATCCAAGCAGAACGACCGCAGCAGCCCGCCGCGTTTACGGACCGTTTTTCTTTATCTGCGTGTTTTGTGTTGAAACGTGGGGTCGACACAAGCCGATTGCGACATCACCTTCATTCCCGTAAACTCTCCCCTTCCTTTACCGTAGAAAAACATGACATCACTTTCACTTTGAGATTGGAAAAGAGAGCAACCAGGCAGAAACAACACAGAATAATCTAAAACCCGACATAAGCATGCATGCAAACTTGACTCGTTATTAGTAATTATGTAACCTCAGGAAAATCCTGCTGCCTCTTCAGTGGGTCCTCCCTTTAATTCAAGAAAAACACGACGGCTTAGTTACATTATGTAAAGAAACGCTGCAAAATCTGCGTTATTCTCACCTTTTCGATGTTAATCCCAGAATCAGCTGCGAAAAGCAGAGTGTAATCTGCACGGCAGATCATCTCCATACCTATCCTAAGATGACGCAGCCCCCTTAAAAAAAAATAATAGAAAAATCTCCCCTCCTCTGTCATTAAAAACACTAACAGACCTCCATTTAACACCTAAAAACGAGTTTAAGTGTAAAGAGGGGATGAAAAACAAATCATCCCTGCATGATCCACCTCTGCATGGTCGTTTCGCCTTTTCTGAATGATTGCATTGCTCCCCTTCTTCCTCTGAAATAAATAAAAAAATAAAAATGAAAGGCGAGCGCTTGGAAAAAGCAAAAGTGTCCATCCACAGCTCGGGTCGTGCGCAGTGGACTCCTCTAAAGGGCCATTCAGAATGGGGAGCCCTTCCAGAAATTGCGCAGTTTTTATTCCATTGAAGGGAGCAGAGGACTCCCTCCTGTCTCCTGTCCCCCTGAACGCCTCTCTTCCTCTTCCCTCCCTCCTTGCCTGTCTGCCTGGCAGCCTTCCTCCCTCTCTTGCAGGTTCCTCTCTGTACAGTAACTCTGCAGGACTTCCCAAAAGCCTGGAAGATTTGAAAGAAAACTAGAGGAAAAACCACAATGAGGAAACCTTTATAGACCTGCACATTGGCTTCATCCAACGGGATTCTGTTGAACACCTGATGTAACTATAAATTAGTCCTCTTATCTTTATTGATGCAAAATTTGTAGTCATTTTACTTACTACATAATTACATACAATAGTCAATGGTGTAACTATCGGTAAGTATAGACTGGAGTTGCTTAGGGGCCCTTGACCTCTTAGGGGCCTTGTCAATGCGCAGGCTTAACTTTCTGAAGGACTGGTGTGGACATGTCCCCACCAATAATTTCAATACATATAATTTGGCTCTCAACAATATGTGAGACAATTATCTAAATTTGATTTTGCCACTTTTGAAGGAGGAGAATCAATGATGAAGCTGAAAGGGAAAACAATCAATCAATTCACATTTTTCTGGATGGATTGACGGATGGATGAATGAAAACTGAAATTGTGTACGTACTAGGGATGCATGATATATTGCTGTTGGCATCAGAATCAACTGTTATTCATCCTTTTCTTTATACAGTCATGTCTAACTACCCATAAATATAAATATCAGTTTTCGTTCTTTTGTGTTCTAAACAATCAGTGTATTCTCATTATCAGTTCGTATGAAATCGTACGAAAGGTTATGCACAGTAATTTCTTACGTTTTTTTCGTCGTATTTTTACGTCTTGCCTCGAGACAAGATGTCCTTGCGCATGCGCATCTTACGCACCATTCAATAACATAGAATTTAACATACAATTAACCCTAACCCTAAGATACAAAATAGGAAGCAACGTAGTTAGAGATCTGAAGAAGTAATTATTGCACTGTTTTTCCTAGTTTTACGTCCGTCCGCGGATCTGCTTTTTTTGTCTGTCTGGCTGCGCATGCGCACTTATCTGTTTTTTCGAGGAAAAACATCAAAAACGTACGAAATACTGTGCATAACTTTTCGTACGATTTCATACAAACTGATAATGAGAATATGTTGACACAATAGGAAAGCATTAAAGCTCATTTTTGGAAAATACAAACCCTATTCAAAGCATTTGTTTCGAGTAACTGTAAGTCCATCAGCCACCACCCTTAAAATGTCTCCATCAACTTTCTTCACAAAGTTACTCCCCTGCGTCAATCACTCGTGATAGGCCACCTAAGCAATTGTGGACTAGGGCGTCTCTACGCAGATGTAATGGTGCGAAAATTTCCAATTTTACTAGCCTGATGCGACTGTCTGACTGGACCTTATTTATACCTCAACACATGGCAGATTTCAAAATGATGGCGAGTCATTTAAACACGACACCAATAGAAAAGCAGACAGTGGTACTTTTGATTACTATGTTAGTAAATGTGTATAGTTCATTAGACGATTGGTAAAAAATACACGCATATAATATGTTTCAAACACATTGGGGTGTTGTAGTTCATATGGGGCCCACCAAGATAATTTTGCTTACGGGCCTATTGTTGTGTTGTTATGCCATTGGATAGGAACTACTGATAATCACTAAAATATGCATTTTATTAAAATTATGCCAAACAATTAAGTGCACGATACTTTATGTATCATTGTTTATTATCATTGTTGTAGCAGCTTCGATCCAACAACAGAGACGCTGCTGGCTGAGAAGTTTTGGCCGCTGCGATGCATCTCCAAGAAGCCATCCTTAGCCCCACATGCGTTTTCTTTCTTATTTATTTTCCAAAAAGTTACAAGTGACGATGACAATGAAAAGTTTGACAAAAACCTCCTCACCCAACTCGCTGTTGGGAACACTCCTATCTATTAAAATAACAAGGGACCACACCCCCTAAGCAATCACCCCAGCTGTGGGAAGATCTGAACACCTGTGCCACCAAAATAATAAACAGAGTATAAACCGTTAACTTTGGCTCTTACACTTATTATTTTACAAAGATGTTTCTTCTGATAAGAAGTAGGGTAAGGAAGTTGTTGAGGGAATACACACAAAGGAACTCTAAAGCACTGATACTGTACTTTCACAGTGGTGCCACCACTTGCAAGGGGAAATTTTGGTAGCATCAGTTTAGCATTTCATCCCATCATGCACAGCCATTGATGTAACAATTAAAAATCACACAATAAACCAAGTTATGAGCTTTGCTTACTTAAGTCTCTATGATTTCTACAGGCAGGTTTACCACAATAGTAGATTCAAACCCTGAAATTATGGCTATTAGTTTCAGTGTGCCACCCCAAGAATTTTAGTAGCCCCATCTGGCCACCCCATGAAACATTTCTGGAGGCGCCACTGTTTGTACATGAGAGAAAAGTAAGTCAGTAGAAGCTCCCTTAGTGGCTTCATATTAATAGGTGATGTCTTAATCGGGGTATAAGGTGCAATAAAAGCTGAAGACTGAAAAACTGACTAAAAGAACACCAAATTTCTCTTAGAAGAGTATAAAAATAACCCAAAGTCTAACTGTAAAACTCAAAGGTATAGTGGAGGATGTTCTTTTTCCGGGTGGATCATCAAAAGAAGTGGTCCTCCTAATTGTCAATCATCCTGGTGATATGTTTACGTAATGTCATCCTATGTGCTCGTCACCATTATTACTTACCGGTGGTGAGTCTGGCATAGTGGAAAAATTATAAATCTTCTTTTAAAAAGCAAGCTTGTATGAGAGATGCAAACAACAACTTTTAAACAGAACGTGCACGAGGAGAAATGGGCTCTCGCACGTGTTTAATAGGCGTTCCCTCTCTGGCCCGGGTACAGAATTGTGCATGTGCATTTTTTTTTTTAAGTGGAGAGGGCAGGTGTTTTTCAGATATTCTTTAAAATCCTCCACTATACCTTTAAATTCTCAAAGAAACTTCAAACACCTCTAAAGAACCCCTGTTTATTTTATAACAATGTTAAATTACATACAGGCTACAGGTTACATCCAGGTTAAATTACATACATAACAGCTAAAATCAGTAGAGTCTGAAATATTTTATTTGGGGCATCAGAGTAAAGGGGCTGGAGATTATTTAGAAGTAAATGTGCTGACAATGCTTTGACAAAACAAAAAACACAGAAAGAACAACAATAAACAAACAAACATTACAAACCGGAACTACCAAGCCAGGGAGCTGACAGAAAATAACTATAGGCCCATTTTAAACCTCCTTAGGAAGATTATAAGAAAAGCTTTGTTTCAGCAGTGTAGCAGTGCTCCAACACTGGTTAAAAACAGAGAATAAAACCAAAGCACATCAATGTGCCAAGATTTTCTTCTGCTAAATAAAAAAAAAATCTTAATTGAATCAAAATAGTTTTTGGACCAAGTGAAGAGCGATTAAAAATCTTACACACAGACTTCGGACTTCATGCCAATGTTGAAGGTCATAGTTTAAATGCACCCTTTAATGTGTTCTATCTTAGAATAATTCTGCATAGTCAGAGCTTTCTCACCTTAATACTTTGGACCTTGTGCTCAAATATGGTATTGACTGTAAAGAAATAATTATTTCTCACAATCCTTTTACCTGACATGTTACCTTTTTTGTAACATTCAAACTTACTTTAACAGAGTTCTCCTCCCCCAAAAGACAGTTTCACTCAGGCAGATTATTATCAAATAAAACAATGATACATTTTAAAGAAATGAAATTTCTATTTCCTGTGGATTCCAAAACTAAACTTTTATAATAATATTTGAAACTTTTATTAATCTCACACTGGATAATTTCACCTCTGCAATTGACCCATCCCCTTGGTGAGCAGTGGGCTGCCATTGTGCAGCATCAGGGGAGCAGTGTGGGGTTAAGGGTCTTGCTCAGGGACCCAGAATGCAGGCTGTGGGGATCAAACCGGGTACTTGCAACCTTCTCAGAGCACACGTTCACTGCTCTAACCACCTCTAGGCCAACACCGAATCATCTCTACCTGATTACAGATCAATACTGCAGAAAACAAACATTTAATTAAGTTATTCAGGTCAACATTGGATCATTTAGAGATCCTCACTTACCTCTGGAGAGAGTGCCCTGCACTGAAAGTAAAGTACACCCCACTCTTCAGTTTTTTATTTCTTGAAAAAGTAAAAAAAAAAATCTAATAAATTCCATTCCACTTCATGACTGTGTTCAAAATAAAAATGTTATATCTTTGTTTGAAGCCTCATATGTGGCAAAAGGTTAAAAAGTTCAAGGTTGCCAAATACTTTTGCAAGGCACTGTAGGTGTAAGTCACAATATGGGGCAAAATGTGCTGCTTTTGCAGAGCTCTGGGCTCTTTTCTAGTACTTTTCTAGTTTATGTAAAATAAGTGTATTCCCAACATTACAACTTTGGTTTCCTGTCAAATTACACCCATGTGATCACACTCCTCCAAACCCTTTTGCAGCAGCAATCAATGAAAAAAATAATGCAACTGTCTTTGGCATTCATATTTAGTTACTTTAACACAATTGTTTCATGTTAGTGGGGTAGGAAAGATAACAATTGTGTTTATGTAACTAAATATGATTTAGTAAATGCCAAAAAACTGTTGCATTATTGTTTTCAGTGTAGTATTGCTTTCTTTATTCAATGTGCCTTGATAATTTCCATAAATCGTCATTAATTTGCTAGTTCTATTGGCGAACAATGCACAAAGTTCAGCGTATGGCAGCATTTTTGAAGATTCTGGGACATCAGGCATACGCTGTCTAAATCAGCAAGGTGTGACAGGGCCCTTATTAAAGAAATCAGTCTGCCATCTTTATTTTATTCCACAATGTATATGAAGTCTGTGAGCCACAGTCCAACTGCTCAATTAAGCTCAATGTTTTCTTAATGCTGATCATTGTAATGTTTAATCAATATATATGATCTCCTGGTTTCTATTAGGAAAGCCATTACCATACACACACACAC